CTGACTCCACCACTTCCAATCAAAGTAGATGTTGGTGCCACTACTTCAACTAGCGATGTTGCCACTTCTACTAGTAACACCACCCATATTACTGATTCTATTGATGAAGACATGAGTATGGGAAGTGGTGAAGATGATATCACAAGTCAATTGCCTCATGAAGATGACGAACACTCGGGGGGCAATGAAGATGGCGCCAAAGCCATTGAGGAAGATGATGTCACCATTAAGAGCATCGGAAGTGATGACTGCTTCAAACATGAAGATGATCAACTTAACGAAGATGAAGTGGTAAATGAGGAAGTTACGCTCGGGGGGGGGGGGTGCAACTTTCTAACCACCCTGACTTTGAGGAAGTTGATGGTTCCATAGAAATCACCAACACCAAGGAGATTTAAGACTCTTTTGAAATCAAAGAATACAAGGACGACTTGGAGTTTGATAACTCTTCAGAACTCGACGCTCAAAAAGATGAAAGTCTTCTTGATGAAGATGAAGCTTATCAGGCACACGCCAACCCAACATTGGGGCAAATTAATCCTAATTCAATGGCCTTAGCTCAGTTCTTTGTAGAGGCCATGAATAGAATATCTTTGGTGCAAGACCAAAAGCTACAGCAGCTCATGGAGTTGACTGCTCGAATAAAGGAGTCAAACGACTTATTTAAAGAGCAAATGACTCAAGACCAGGGAAACATCCTAGCTAGGATTGAAAGGATGGAAGCAATGCCCGGGGGGCAAGAAGAATGGTGCTAAGGACATTGTCCTCACCAAGTTCAAACAAAGCTTAGTGGACAAAGCCGCTCCAAAAGCAAATGCGGCCTATAAAAAAACAAAATTAATGAAATTGTTAATTTACAATTTTTTGTTAATACAACAGGTTGGTGAAATTAAATTTTACCACCTTAAAATTATTTCATAATTTTTATTTTGGAAAAACTATTAATTATGGCTGCCAAAATTAATTATGTTAATATTTTAAAGAAAATTAAATTAAATTTTGGCCTTAAAATACAAAAAGGCCGAAAACCCTAATAAGGGGTTAAATTGCATGCCGCCAAAAATTGCAATTTTTGCAATTAGGCCGCGGCATGCTAGGGTTTCGGAAATCATCAAATTAGGTTTTCATACTCATGAATTATAGCCTAATAAACCTGATTTAATCCCTGATTTTTGGCCAACTTATCCAATTAGGTTGAAAATTACAAAAATCCTAAAAGCCTAGGGACTTAATTGCAAACCGCCCAAATTTCCAACTCTTTCAATTGGAGCTGCGACATGCTAGGATTTTAATCCCACTTAAATTAGGTTTTGTTCCTAAGGAATTTAACCTAATTACATGAGGAAAACATGCTGTCCTAATCAATTTTGGCCAGATTTAATTCCTAGGCTGAATTGAATTTTGATTTTTGTCCAATTAAGGCCGAAATTGTGGAAATTAGGGTTTTGAACCCCAATCGATATTCCTAGCCCCAAATTTTAACCTAATTAATGTGATTTATGCCATATGATACATGATTATATGCATCAACATGTTAATAGAAAGATTTATGGCAAAAATTAATTCCTAGGCCGAAAACTATGAGGTTTTTGCTAAGGTTTTATGCCAATTTCTTCACTAAATTAATTTGGTTCCTAAATCAAATTAATCCTCTAATTTCCAGCAGCTAAATCATCAAAAATTCATCATCAAAGTCGGCATTAACCTGTATTCTAACCTAGGGTTTGCGGCATGGAAGGAAAATTGATGAATTTAAATTCAAAAATTGAAATTTCATGAAGCAATTGCCTTGGTTTGATGTTGATTTGGGATCAATCACCATGGACTTGATTTTTGGCCTTGCTTGAGATGAATTGGAGTTGCTTTCATGGAAGTTTGATCCAAATGGCTTGATCCTTGCCAATGATTTTGGAAGCCTCCAAGAAAAGGGAGTTGCGACTTGAATTGCTTGGCATGGAGGAGGACTATGCTTGTAATTTTTTTTGAAACCTTGATTCTTGGAAGCCATTGAAGCTTGAAAAGTTGTTGAAATTTTCGGCTAAGTATGGTACCGAGGAGGGAGGTCGACGAAGCTAAGGAAAATAAGAGAAAGATTTTGGCCCAAGACCAATTTCCTTATATACAAGCTCAAATCCTTTTTAATTCAAGGGCTTAAGCTTGGGGGGGGGGGCATTGTTTATACCTCAATTTACAATTGAGGGTAAATTGGTTTTCACATAAATATAGTCAAAATGAGTGGTCAAGATTTGATCAACAATCCTGATGAAACTTAGTTTCTGCACCACTCTAGTTCTGATAGAATTAGGAAAATCTTGTAATTAATTACTAAGGGCCGAAATTTATTTATTAATTATTAAATAATAATTATTTTCCAGAATAATTATTATTATTTTCCCCTAGAATGCCACCCTGACTAGGGATGATGCATGATAGATCATGAAGAGGCAGTTCCCTTTAATGCTGCTGTCATCTAAGAAGACAAGTAGTAAAAAAGGAAGTTGTATGCCATCATCCCATAGGATGGAAAACATCTTATGGACTCACATAACAAGCCCAAGTCGTCTCCCATGATGAGGAGAGGCCGCCCTACTCTCAGGAAGCTGCCTCCTTATTCCCTTCAACTAAGGAGTCAGCGAGTCAATGTTTGTCAGCAAGCAGCTTACCATGCTTATACAAGGGAGGTGATACGAATCTAGTTGTGATATCCTCCAAAGATCAACTTGGAAACACCAAAACCTTGATTTGTATGTAGAATCGATAAACCTAACCTAGTCTCTTCTTCGCTCGTCGCCGATAGATGAATAATTAGACCTGCAATTATCAATCTAAGATCACAAGATTCACAATCAATTAAGCAATCACAACCTAATTGTTTGCTAGGACTCTACAAGATTGAAGAACCCTAAGTATGGTCAAACTAGAACAATGAAGCTAAGATAATGAATTGGGTGAATAATGATAGGGGTTGACCAAACAACCAAAATAAAACCTTATTTTCGTCCAAACATAAGGGCTAGGTAAAACTAGTCCAAGCCCAGCTAGGAAAAGGAAATAAAAGCATAATTAAACAATGATTAGACTTAGTCAAACAAGGCCCAGTCCAAATAACATCCAAACTTAAAAATAAACTAATTTAAGATAGAATTAAGCCCACACAAAGCAAACTAATGTTAATGGACTCATGCCACGATGTCAATTCGGCCATGTAGAATCAATAACAAGTAAAGTGATGAACTTGTAATTGATTGGTATTTTCTTGCTCAAATCATCATCAAAGCTCTTCAATTGAACTTCGATGGTCTTCATATCATCTAGATGAGTTTGAACAAGGCTCATTAGTGCATCCTTGAACCTTTTAGCTCTTGCTATTGTCATCAGACCATTAGACATCTTCAATGGATCATAAGGCATCTTATTGGTGCTAGAAACATGATTTGCGATATGATGTACTAAATCTGCAAGTGCACAGAGTCAGTTGAAGTAATAAAACCTAGAGTAATCCAGGTGTCGAACCCACAAGGAACAATTAATTTCTACGATAATTAATTCTATCAAGAGAAGGAAAATTTTGAGAATTTATTAAAACAAATTAAAATTAAAAACAATGAAATTGTAAAAGCAGAGAATTAAATAAGATTGTGAAGACAGTAATTAAAAGGCTTAGGGCTTCAGGTTTCACCTAATTGGGGAATTATTAATTAACCTATGAATTAAATTGATGCAAAGCTAGAATAGAATTACACTTAATTACCTATGTGCTCCGTCGAGTCTACATAGGAATACCTAACTAATTAGATTCACTATCTGTCGATGTCAACCTAATTAACTAGATTCATTAAGAACAAGTAATTAATCACCTATCAAATTAGCCTAAGATTCATGTCTGATTCAGCCTAATTTGTCTATTTACCTAGTGCACAGATTATGCTTCTCCTGTCAGTACATCACACAATCCCTAAGACAATCTATATGTTGATCAGGCATATAAATCTCATGAAGAACAAGAAAAATAAATCTAAATTGAAAGAAAAACAATTTAAATTCATAAATCAAGCAATAATTCCCAATTGGCTACACCTTAAACCCTAATTAGGGATTTAGCTACTCATGCTCATGAAAATAAAAACATAAATTATAAAATAAATAAAGAACATGAGAGAGGAAGAAAAAATCCCTAAAAATTGTCTTCAAGAAAGTGGAAGAGAATTGTCTCCAAAAAAATCCCCAAATTCTAAGTACAAAGCCTCCCTTTATATAGGGGTTGAAATTCTAAACCTAAAAGAAATAGGAAAAATAAAATAAAGATTACAAATAATTAATAAATCCTAATGGGACTAGGAATAAGTGGAATCTGACTTTAATTGACCCAAAATTCGTAGAAAATAATTATTGGTTGAAAATAGGTGAAATCCCATTAAAAATAGGAGAAAAATTCGTCAAAATCGGATTCAGATCACATCACCCGGGCGCGTCCAAGATTTGCCCGCGCGCGGCTTGTACCAGGAACAATTCCGCGTCCAAATTTAAGCTTGCCCGCGCGCGGCTTGGACCTAGCCCGCGCGCGGCTAACAACAGATTATGTATTCGCAATTTCCAATTCAATTTGATTTGGCCAAATTCTCTTTTTGTGCTTTCAGCTTCTAGTTTCCTTCAATTTGGTTCCTTTTCTTCACAAAGTCTTCAATTAAGCCTATGAAACAAAATCAAAGGAAATTAAGCACCGAATAATCAAAGTTGATAAAATAAACACCAAAATTAACACCAATAATTATGTAAATTATGCACTTATCACGATATCACCATCATCTTCAAGTTTGTCCATGCTTCCTTGCAGCCCATGCACATCCTCTCCATGATCTCCATTGTGAACTTCAAGTCCATGATGAGTCCTTGGCGCATCATCCCCTCCCCCTTGAAGAAGATTTGTCCTCTAATCTGCATTATTATCAAATAAAGACAAATCAACAACATTAAAAGTAGCACTTACATTACCATAGTCACTAGGAAGATCTAGCTTGTAAGCATTGTTGCTGATCCCTTTCTAAGACTTGGAATGGACCATCTCCGCGGGGTAAAAGCTTAGACTTCCTTTTCTCAGGAAATCTCTCCTTCCTTAGATGCAAGCAAACCCAATCTCCAGGAACACCAAATCTAGTTATCTTTGAGCCATTCATGTCAATTTTCTTGTAGCACACAACATAGAGAAAAGACTTTATGAATTCAATCCACTTAACATGCCATAAAACTTTCTCATGCCAAGTTTGCAATGCTCTCACAAGAGCATACAACTCCTTATCATAGGTAGGATAATTCAATGCAGCCCCATTTAATTTCTCACTAAAATAAGCCACGGGCTTTCCTCCTTGCATCAAAACAGCGCTGATACCTACACCTAATACATCACATTCAATCTCAAAAGTATTGTTAAAGTTAGGAAAAACAAGCAAAGGAGCATTAGTAAGCTTATTCTTCAATGTCTCAAATGTTTCTTGTTGTTCTTGACCCCATTTAAATGGTGCATTCTTCTTCATCACACTTGTTATAGGTGCTGCCAAGGTGCTAAAGGCCTTAACAAACCTCCTATAAAATCCAGCCAAGCCATGGAATGATCTTACTTGACCAACGTTGGTTGGTGTTGGCCAATCTTTGATGGCTTTGATCTTCTCTTCATCAACCTCTATACCTTGCGCAGAAACCACAAAACCAAGAAAAACAAGCTTGTTTGTGCAAAAGGCGCCCTTTTTAAGGTTAGCATACAACTTCTCAACCCTAAGTACATCTAACACACATCTCAAATGCTCAACATATTCTTTTAGGCTTCGGCTATACACAAGTATATCATCAAAATAAACAACAACAAACTTGCCAATAAAAGCTCTTAAGACATGGTTCATTAGCCTCATAAAAGTACTAAGTGCATTAGTATATCCAAAAGGCATAACTAACCATTCATACAATCCTAACATAGTTTTAAAGGCAGTTTTCCATTCATCACCCTCTTTCATGCGAATTTGATGGTACCCACTCTTAAGATCAATCTTAGAAAATAAACAAGCACCATGCAATTCGTCAAGCATATCATCTAATCTAGGAATAGGGTGACGATACTTAATTGTTCTGTTGTTTATTGCTCTACAATCAACACACATTCTCCAAGTTCCATCCTTTTTAGGAACAAGCAAAACAGGAACTGCACATGGAGAAAGACTTTCACGCACATACCCTTTTTCAAGCAATTCACCAACTTGTTTCTCCAACTCCTTTGTTTCTTTAGGATTAGTCCTATAGGCTAGCCTATTTGGAATTTGCGCCCCAGGGATGAAGTCAATTTGATGCTCAATCCTTCTAATTGGAGGTAATCCACTAGGAATTTCCTCAGGAAACACATTTGCATAATCACTCAAGAGAGAAACAATATTTCTTGGAAGTTCTCCAGCCAAGTTATTAGTGCTCATAAGTGTATTTTAAAGCAAAAGCAAGATCAAAATAGAATTATCATGCAAAGCACTCTTAATCTCACTTTTAGTAGCTAAAATACACTCCTTAACAACTTTCTTAGAACTAGCTCTATTATCAACCAAAACAGATTTGTTCTCAACGCAATTAGACTAGAACTAGCATGTTTCTCCTTTTCTTTAGCCCTATATTCAGCTTCCATTTTAGCAAATTCATCCCTCAATTTCAATTGATCTTTTAAAACTTCTTGAGGTGATAAAGGAACTAAAGTAATAGGAATCTTAGCACACATAAAGGAGTACTTGTTTGTCTCACCATCATGTTGAACCTTGTTGTCATATTGCCAAGGTCGACCAAGTAGTACATGACATGCTTGCATTGGTAAAACATCACACAACACGTCCTCCATGTACCTGCCCAAAGAAAGAGAAACTAAAACTTGCTTGTTAACCTTAATTTCTTCTCTATCATTGAACCATCCTAAACTATAATTGCACAAAAGTGAAAAGTTACTTCCGAGCTTCGAATGTGCTGAAATTTGGATAGTATGCTCATCATACTTTTCTTTTCATCTTTTTCTAAGTTTTTCTAGTTCTAGAAGGGAGAGTCGACACCCTCTCTTTGCATAGAGGGGTGCGATATCCCTAGGGTTTGCAAGGGAGGATTTCAACCTTCAAGTCTTGTAAGTTTTCTTATGCCTCTCATGGATTTTTCCAAATCCATGAGTAGCTAAACTCTTAATACTTCTTATCCTTTGGTGAATTCAATCAATTGATTATGGTGAGATTTATGTGCTTATAATTTGATATTTGTTTTTGATGGATAGTATGCTAATCTCTGTTTTATTTCATGATCTTGATTGTTATTAATTTAGAATGGTCACTAAAGAGATAATGTGATAGACGTATAGTTCAATCAACTTAGTGGTGACTCTCAGGTTGATTATGTGGTAACAAATTGAGTATGTCGGAAAACAACTCAATGAGAGAAGTATACCAATGGGTGATTTAAATTGCTCATTGTTTGGTTTTACTTGTGAAACATGTGTGAAAAATAACTGTTCTTAAAGCTTTGTTTCTTGGCAAATCAATAAGCCTGGAAGTGTAATTGATGTGTTGAGAGATAAAAGGGTGTTATAGCCTTGAGCGGTATAATAACTAATATACATGCTAGTTTTCTAGGCCAGTTATCATTAAGAATAAAATATTAAATTCATCTTTTTAATCTTGGATCCATAGTTAATTTGATTGAATTCTACCAATAGAGAAGAAGTATGCCTTTTAATTATTGTTTTCTTTATAAATTGCCATAGATTTAGGTTTAATTTACTTTGATTTGCTTTTAGTTTAATTGCTTTCTATTAATAATTCTTAATCCCCTGTTTTCTATTTTAAAACTAAATTCTAGAAAAGATTTATTCTTTGGGATAAGTTTATTCCTCTTTTCTGTGGGATCGACCCCTGCTTGCCCCATCTACTTAGTTAGCTTTTTTGTGGGGATTATTTTTTGTGATTGTGACAACCGATCAATTTCCAAAAATCTAAGTCGATCTCCAGATGACCCAGGGTTGGTCTTTTAGTTGATCTTCATAAGCGTAAGATGATCTCTACAGAAATTCAAAGGAATCTTCAGACGACTCACTGCAAGTCTTTCAAAAATTTAAGCTAACCTTAAAATGACTTTGAATGATTCAGGGCAGGTTTTTCAGATGGATCCAAGTTGACCCAGGGTTGTTTTTCTTCAAAATAATTGGGGGTGGTCTTACTTCAGTTCAATTTCAGAAATATTGGGGATGGTTGTTCTTCAATGGATTTCAATAGATCGGGGGTGGTCTTTCGTGAAGCGCCCCCGAGTGGGCTTTTCAGCATCGAAGTGGAACTTCAAGCGTCTCCGAGCAGACTTTTAAGTTTCCAAGTGGACTTTCAACATCGTCTAAGGGCAAATTCGCTTCAGTGACATCTCATGGTAGATTCTCTTTAATAACATCTAGGGTAGATTCTCTTTACTGACATCTCAGGGTAGATTATCTTCAGTGGCATCTCAGGGTAGATTTGCTTCAGTGGCATCGCAGGGTAGATTCGCTTCAGTGGCATCTTAGGGTAGATTCGCTTCAGTGACATCGCAGGGTAGATTCCCTTCAGTGACATCTTAGGGCAGATTCGCTTCAGTGACATCTCAGGGGAAATTCTCTTCAGAGACATCTCAGGGTTGATTCGTTTCAGTGACATCTTGATGAGACCAAGATGTTACATGTTTTTTGCATCTATCATGCATGTATTTGATATGTTTTATATGTCATTTTAACCTCTAATAAGGCGTTTTGCACTTGTAGGCCTATTTAGAGAGAAAGTTGCAATATGGTCTAAAATGGAGCTATTTGGAGCACAATTGGATTGAAGGCCAAAAGGAGACCTCATCAAGAAGGTGAATTTAGACCTATGTCCATTGGATGTGGTGAACCACTTCTTCAATGTTGTCGAAACGTTCGGGTCCGGGGAACCCTACCGAAACGACTTTGGAAAAAGAGGAGTCGCCATTAATCTTTTTTTCTAAGGTGTGATTAGCCACCTAATAACCTCTTAAGCCTAGTTAAATCCAAAGCTCGGCATTGGACCCACTAAACTTAAAATCCGGTCTTCCAACCTAAATCTAGGTTCGGGAGTCTGTTACATTTGGGGAAGGATCAGCACCCCCAAATGCCCGTCAAATGACGGAACCTCTAATCTAAACTAAGATCTAGTGGGTCTAACAAAAAGTGGTTGCTTTTACCTTAATCTTGATTATTAATATAAAATGTTATAAAAGAAAAAGAAAAATAATTTTTAGTGGGTCTAACAAAAAGTGGTTCCTCCTTTAACTCTCTTTCACTATTTGTTCTCTTGTTGAATCTCCCATACCGGGAAGAAATTTTTAAAAATGCTGTGTCAAAACTCATTTTTTGTCATCTTTAATTTTCCAAGAAAAACTAGTTGATTTTTAACTTGCCAAAAATCTTATTATTAGAAAACTCACCATTAAATTAAAGTTTTAATTTTCGAATTAAGATTAGCTCGAAAAGATTCGATAATCTACTTCTGAATTAATTTTAATCTAACAGTCAAATCTTTAAACCAAAGACTTGACTTTTCAAATTAAAATTAATCCGAAAGGATTTACTGATCGATTTCCAAATTAATCTTAATCCAAAATCGAACCTTTAATTCAAAGGGTTTGCCTTTTTTATTAATCATTTTTCGAAAATGCTTACCTTGAAAACTCTTTAATTACCATTTTTTTTAATTTTTTTTGAAAACTGAATAAGAGAACATAATTAAAAACCTTTTAAAGAAAACACTTTTTATTATATCTTTTAATTTTCTAATTTTTCCATTTTTTTCCATTTTTCCTTTTTTCTTTTCATTTTTTTTTTGCATTTTCCTTGAAATTTGGCCTAAATATTAACTAATGCACGTATGAAATGATGAATGCAAAGTCCGGTTTATTAGTTGATCAATAAAAAGGAGTTTTACTTGAATTGACTTTCACGAACCTAGCCCGGCCCTCCAGGGATATTCGTGAAAACCAATCAATCTCGGAGAGAAACCTCGAGAGGTTGTGCTCCTGCACCTTTACCCGAGGTTTGCCCGTCGTAGTTAAAAACGCCCCCTTATTAATCGAATTTTATAATGGTGGTATGAAATGCAAACAGTTATAACATGATATGCATGCAATTACATTCTACTTTAGTTCTACATTAAATTTCTAACTTATTACAAACCCAATGGCTTAATTAAACCACTAATTTAAATGACAAATAACTTAAAATAAACGTAAGCTTAAGGGCCAATTGGGTCGGACTGGGGACATTTCTGCACATCAAGTAGAAGATTAGCACAGTTCACAAAAAGTACAAATAATGTAAAACAGAAACCTAATCGCACGACCTTGCTATGAAAACTATAGATTAAGAAGCAAATTGCATCAAAAAGATAAGTAAACTTCAAGAAAACAAATCTAAATCTTAAATGAACCTACAAACAAGCTTTTAAAACCCTCATGAACTAGGCTATTTCCTTAATTTTGTTTAATCTAAGAGAATTAAGCATTTGAATTCAAACATTCATTTTTAAACTAAGTTCAATTCAAATAGATTCACCCATCCATCTTTTGAGTTGATTTTTAATATAAATAATTTAGTCTTTTAATTCAAAATTTTAACCTTTAAATTAAAATTAGCTCATAATGATATGGAACTCAAATTACAAGCTAATTTTCACTTAAAGTTTTGTACTTTGAATCAAAGCCTCCATCTTTATTACTAAAATCAACTCAAAATAGTGATTATGAATCCAAATATAGTTTAAAAATCAAAATTTAAGGTCAAGAGCTTATTAATTTTCTCTTATGTCTAAATTAAATTCCAAAGAAAATGATCATAATCAAATTTTAATCATTTTTATTCATCTTATCATGTCAAAGCAAAAAGATCACAACTTTAATCATGGACATTAACAATTTGGACAAAAGGAAACCATTAAAGCATAGAAGACCAATTATGAATCTAATCCATGACATTTTTAACCAAAGACAACACTTTGCCATTAAAAATCTAAGCTTTACACAAAATCAACACTTTAATCATCAAATCACCATCATAACAATCATAAACATATATGAATCAAACAAAACATACTTTGCCCAATATAAAATTAGCAATAAAAATAAACTCATGAAGCAACTAGATCGTAAATCACAAAATTAGCAGCTTAAGGGACTGAATTAAAAGGAGTAAAAAGTTACCTGTTGGAACGGCGCCGTTTCGTTCAAAGAAGATCCTTTTAATCGCAAATCAGCTTCTTCTTCCTCGCCCCAAACACTTCTCCTTCTTCCTAACGAAACCCTAATTCCTTCTCCCTGCAACCTTTGTATTGTACCCTTCGAAAACCAGTATCCTAACAAAAATTGATTTTTAAATCAAGAAGCCAAGGATCCGAAAATGAAAAAAAAAAACCCAAAAGAAACATTAGGATTGGCTTTCAAATCGTCAGAGACTAAGAGCGAAAGGGTAAACCGATGCTTGAGCCAATCCAAAGGATTTACTCTTCAATCACTACCAGACCCTCTATTTCCAACTCTTGTTCCATTTTTTTTTCTTGAAATTTCCAGAGAAAAGAAAGAGAGAGAATGCTCCCGAAAACCCTAGCCTTTCCCCGTTCTTCCTCCCAATCCTCCTCCACTGTTAAAGACAGAGAATGAGCTATTTAAAGGTTCATTTCACTTGCAATCCCCACCATAAGATCCTCCTCTCAATCGTTATCAACGATTCCCCTTTTTCCTATTTTTCTCTCTAATTTTCTTTTTTGTTTTTCTCTCTGTTGGTAGCAGGGGAGGAAGATAACGATGGGTTGATGAGCTGTCAGGTTCAGTCAGCTTCCTTGCACCTTCCTCTGGCATTCAGGTAATTTCCTCAATTTTTTTGATCATTATCATCATCTTTTCCCAATTTTCCTTTCTTTCCTTCCGTTAATCATTTTTGTCTGTTTGTACAGGTCAGAATTGGAATAAGGGAGAGGAGAGGCCTGCTGAGTCACCCTGGTCAATGGTTTGGAAAACCAGGTAAATTCTGTTGCTCATAGTTTTCACTTGGTTAACAGAGTTGAAGAATTTTGACTGCTTTGTCTTTTTGTGAAGTTTGTTGAAGAAAGCAACCTGCTGACGTGGGATGATGAGTTGGAGAGGAATCCCTTGAAAGAATCTACCTTCAGGTGCATTCTGCTTCTCTAATCTGATAATTGGTTTGCTTGTTTTGTACCTCTGCCGTTTTGCTCAATGGCATTAATTTGTTCATGCTTGCCACTGATTTGTTTGACCCTTTAAGCACTTGCTCTGTTGACTGCTTGAAACTTTTCCTCTTTTTTACTTGGTATTTATTGTGCAAAAAAGATTTTGGCCAAAATGTTTACACGCCAACTGTCAACATCCTTCCTATGTGTTTTTCATGCTACCTTATCGATGACCCTTGTGCATTGAGAGTTTGCGGCATTGATTTTCTTGCTGCCTCATAATGCTTATTGCAGTGCATATCTACCTTCTTTTGTCTTGTTTCCCTATCATTTGCAAAAACAAAAATCTGCTTGCTTTGATCCTAAATCTCCTCCTTGCATTGTTGCCTTGCTTGCTGCATTTGCAACCATTAGAATTGTCTTATCTTGTTTGTCATCCCGTGTCATTACCTTGAGCAATTTGCCCCTTGGAGCTTGCTTCTGATCATCGAGTTTGATTGCCGCAATGATAGTTTGTGGATGTGGCTTGAATATGACAACGTTGCATTTTAAGATTGTTTGCTGCTGGAATGCATTCTTGTACAGCTGTCTTCACAAAATCATATCTCTCCCATATTAACTCCAAATTATGTGTTTTTGCAGGCTATGGAAAGCTTGGTGTGTTGATGTAATTTTCTATAACTAGTGGAAATCTCTTTTCCTCCGTGAACGTAGGCAAGTTCAGTGCCGAACCACGTAAATTCTTCTGTCTTGTGTGGATGTTTATTATTTTAGTTGCTTCCGCTTGCATGATTAATTTTCTTGAATATGGTTTGGGATATCCGGGTTACAACAATTGCTATCAGAGCTCAGGTTGAATGGATTGGAGGTTGCCCGGTAGCCCAAACTTGAGATATGGTTCGTCAGGTTTGGTTGTCGTGGAGATTGCCAAATTTTGTTGGTTGATGATTGTTTTGAAGATTGCAAGTTGATTTTTCAAATCAGATTTGGATGAAAAGTAAGATCGGATTCGGATTCAGAATTAAAGTTGAATATGATGCAGTGAAGATGAAGACACACATAGAAGATTGCTTGAAAATTGGGAGACTTCCATCGTAGGTGGAGCCATGCATGTCCGTGAAGCTTGAAGATTTATTGAAGATTAAAGGTTTGATGGAATTTGAGTCAAGGTGGAGATTGTTAGGATTTTGACTCAAACCCCAAATAGATTTGGATTGAGATTTTTTAGGCGTATTGCTTGGTGGATAAAAAGACTTGGTAAACCAGAATCCTAGTAGGAAAGGGATTACTTGGAGGCTAAGTTTATGCTAGTATAAATAGAGAGTTTCTCTATAGAGTTTTCTATGCTTGGAGAAAAGATGTAGTCTAAGGGTTGGATTTTGGTAGAGGCACCCCATAGGACAAAAGGATGGTCCTTATGGCCGGTGTGTGTGAGATTGTTTCGTTTGATGTTTGGTTTTGTTGAT